AGGTAAGATCGGATTTTATAGCCCGAATTCTGTAAGTCTGCCAGCTGAATAGATTAGACCAATGAAATAACTAGATCTGTATATACTCTTCTTTGAACTTTGTACTCGTTTACCGTTTACATTTAGAATTTAATAAATCTGTTGATATCTTCAACACGAATGGTTTGGTCAATTACAACACGGTTTAAGCAACCATTATTAGAACTGTTATTGATCATTTTGTCTTTCTCATTAGGTATTGTTACGGTATGGCAATAAACAACAACTACATGAATGGCTTATTCCTTTGCTTGAAGGGAAGATACGTTCTGGATTTGCAATGACTGAACCGCAAGTTGCATCCTCTGATGCAACAAATATTGAATGTTCAATTAAAAGGTAGCGATGTTAGACATTTATTTATAGAGAACATTTTTTCTTTCTCCTTTACGGATTTGATTCTTATTTTTTTATTAGTATTCATGTTAAATGGATTTTCTTGACTAATTTTTATACAGCATTTAGTTTGTTATTGGTATAATTACATTAAACTGTTAACGTACGGGCAGGGAAGGAGATATCTACGTCATCAATGGAAGAAAATGGTGGACGAGTGGAGCGATGGATCCGAGGTGCAGAATCCTTATAGTTATGGTTAGTTCTATCAATATTTAGAACGATAATTGAATCATCTATTGTTTTTCTAATTTATATTCTCCATTGTTTGCAGGGAAAAACAGATGTTACTGCTGCTATGCATAAGCAACAATCCATGATCTTAGTTGATATCCAGACTCCTGGCGTAGTTATTAAAAGACCACTTACAGTCTTTGGCTTTGATGACGCACCTCATGGGCATGCTGAGATATTATTTGATAATGTGCGTGTTCCTGCAACGAATATTCTACTTGGAGAGGGTCGTGGGTTCGAAATTGCGCAGGTAATTGCCGTATCCTATGCATTTTCGTGCTTGCAAAATATGGTTGTTTCCTTTTGTCATCGCTATGTTTACGCAATTGACCTATCCAGTGCTCTGATGTCCATGGAGTTGCTTGCTTACTGCACCGTGTATGACTTTCGTTTGGCTCGGTATTTCATTCCAGGGTAGGCTGGGCCCAGGGAGGCTGCACCATTGCATGAGGTTAGTAGGAGCTGCAGAGCGAGGCATGCAGATGGCGGTTCAGAGGGCTCTTAGTAGAAAAGTGTTTGGAAAGTTGATTGCCGAGCAGGGTTCGTTCCTTGCAGACATTGCCAAGGTATTTGGATGGTGAACCATAACGTAAATCATAAAATCACGTTCCATGTAATCATATTCCGTGGCTACTTTTGTGTCAGTGTCGCGTGGAGCTTGAGAGAACGAGACTGCTGGTTCTCGAAGCAGCAGATCAGTTGGATCGGCTCGGAAACAAGAAAGCACGTGGGACAATTGCGATGGCCAAGGTAAATTTTCTAACAATTGCAAGAGCTAAGCTAAGTTTGTAGTCTCTCGTTCCATTAATTAGTGTTAAAGGTTTTTTTGCGATACGAGAGAACGTGACACGTATAGAATTAGTCATACGATCTATATATATTTAACTACGACAAAATTCAACAGAATGCAGTAATTTAAGACTATTTTTGTGAGTATGAGGTAAGATTTATAGATTTCGCTCCCGTTTTCGTTTTTCGTCACAGATGTTTCAATGAATATCTTGGTGAAACTTGGTACAGGTTGCAGCTCCAAATATGGCATTGCAGATTCTGGACATGGCAATGCAAGTCCATGGTGCAGGTGGCTTGTCCTCTGACACTGTTCTTGCTCATCTCTGGGCTACTACAAGAACCTTGAGAATAGCAGATGGCCCTGATGAAGTTCATTTAGGAACCATCGCCAAGTTGGAGCTTCGGAGAGCTAAGCTTTGAAAATTAGAAGGAAAGGGGATATTGGGAACTGATAAAACCCGTAAAAAGGACATGGTTGAAACTCAGTTAAAAGAGAAACGGACTGTTATTTGGTCGACTCTATTCTTCTCATTCGAGGATCCAATATGCGAATAATAAACTTTTCAATACTCTTACATAGAAGAATCGAAATAAAACAAAGGCATCCATCTGATATGCAAAAATTGGAAGCACGTAAGTTTCGTATGGAAATTTGAATTTCTGACTTCTTAATCAAGAACATGTTTTGATCTGGTGATTTGATCGGGTGATGCACGAGTTGACAAATATGAACTCATATAAACACGATAATATTGACAAGGTAATCATAGGCTAACAAATAATCAAATAGGTTAAGAATGCTATTAATACCCTCTACAAATATAAGCCATTCCTTAATAGACTACATGATGCTCGAGTAATTATGGGATAAACCGAAGCAAAATTAGAGATTTTGTTGTTCACAATAAGTGAAAACGTCAATTGAAAGACAAGAAGATTCATTCTCAACCAACATATCAAACATATTTTACAACATATTAAAAAAATTTATCTTATTTATGTTAATTTGCTACCATTTCTAATCAAACTCGTACTAAACAAACAAGCCTAACTTAACCAAATAGCTAATAAGTACTACAAAGATTGTGTCGATTTTGACACATAATTGGCAAAGTTATATTAGTCTTAATTTAATGAATAAATGTAATTAAATTAAGCGTAAGTTTAAATTTAGACGGAAAAGTCAGCTGTTGATTTAGAGGAAAAAGTCAAAAGACCAAAAAAATGTTCTCGAACATTAACTGTATTAACTGTCATTTCGGATCAAAATAAAAAATAAAAAATTATATATATAAAAGAAAAATACAAAAATTGAGAATCTCTGGAAAAAAAAAAAAACACGTCAAATGATGACGATGGAGGGAAGAACAAGAAGGCCGCCCTTATCGGCGTGTCTTCATTGTTTCTCGTTGCCATGGTAGTTGCGGTGGCCGTCGGCGTCAACCGGAATGACCCCGATGAAATTAGTAGCAGAAGTGGTGGCGGAGGCACGTCGGAGATCTCCACCTCCGTCAAAGCGATTAAAGCCCTTTGTCACCGACTACCAAGAAACTTGCATAAAATCACTCTCCGGAGTCAACACGAGCAACCCACGTGAGCTAATCAAGGTCGGATTCCAATCTAACATCAATGAACTCAAATCTGCCATTGCAAAATCCGCCACCCTAAAAGAATTCGCCTCCGATCCCAAGGCCAAACCAGCACTCGACGTTTGTAACGAGGTTGTAGAGTACGCAATTGACGATCTCATAATGTCATTTGATAGAATCAATATTAACAAAATTACTGATTACATCAAGGATCTTAAGGTTTGGCTTAGTGCCACGTTGACATTGCAAGAAACTTGTGTGGATGCATTCGATAATGTTACTGGCGATACTGGTGATAAAATGAGGTAATTATTGAAGATGTCGAAGGAAATGACCGCCAATGGACTTGGAATGGTGAGTGAGGTTACTTCCATTTTGTCCTCTTTTGGGATGTCATCGGTCGAATGACGATTGTTGGGGGAGGAATCTAATAAAGAGGAAGAAGAACCATAATGGATCAACAACCGGCGCGGGCTACTCCAAGCCACCCCGAAAACCATCCAGCCCAACGTTGTGGTAGCTAAAGACGGAAGTGGGAAGTACAAGACGGTGAATGAAGCGTTATTTGATATCCCCAAGAAAAGCAATAAAACATTTGTGATTTATGTGAAGGAAGGAGTTTACGAAGGAGAAAGAAAAGGAACTCGCTTAACTCGCTAGGCCTTCGGAACAAAGAAAGGTGATGATGAACAAAAGTATGACGTGGGTGATGATGATTGGAGACGGCCCGAATAAGACCAAGATTACCTCCAACAAGAACTTTGCCGATGGAACACCCACATTCAAAACCGCTACCGTTGGTAAGTTTATACTAATAACTCCATAAAAACATGTTTGAAATTGAGTTATGAACTCCCAAATCTTGTATACATGTTGATGACAAAAACATAGCGGTGGTTGGAACCAACTTCATTGCCAAGGACATGTGGTTCGAGAACTCGGCTGGACCAAAAAAACATCAAGCAGTAGCACTCCGAGTTCAATCCGACATGTCAATCTTTTACAATTGTCAAATGGACGGTTACCAAGATACACTTTACACTCACACCCATCGTCAATTCTATCGAGACTGCACCATCACTGGAACCATTGACTTCATCTTCGGTAATGCAGCCGTCGTCTTCCAAAATTGTAAGATTTTCGTGAGGAAACCATTGTCGAATCAACAATGCATCGTCACCGCTCAAGGGCGAAGCCAACGGAAGGAGCCCACCGCCATAATCCTGCAGAACTGCCTCATCTCCTCCACCCCTGACTACTTCCCTATCCGCCACACCTACAAGGCCTACCTTGGGCGCCCATGGAAGCAATACTCAAGAACCATCATTTTGCAATGCAAAATCGATGACTTAATCCAGCCTGAAGGGTGGCTTCCATGGATGGACGATTTTGCTCTCAATACATTGTTTTACTCCGAGTACAATTGTAGGGGAGCTGGCTCAAAGAAGGACAAACGAGTCAAGTGGAGGGGAATTAAGCAAATTACTCCCGAGCACGCTATCGATTTCACCGCTGGGTTATTTATTCGAGGTAATCCATGGATTAAGCCTACTGGAGTTCCGTACACTTCTGGTATGATGACATTGTTGCAAGAAGAATTGACCGTGTAAATAATTATGGTTTTAGGATTTTGAATTTTAAAAAACTCTTAATTTATGAGATTTTTTTCCTTCAATTTTGTTCTAACTTTTTGTTACATCTCAGAGGGTGTTTAATAACATTTATTATTTTAATTTTTGTAATTTGCTTGGTTTTTTTTTTCCACAATTACCCTTGGGGAAGCCCAAATCGGCCCAATAGTTGAGCCCATAAAGCCCAAAACTTTGGCCCGTCTGCCTAAAATGGAAGCCCAATTCGGATCAATAGTTGAGCCTAGAAAGCCCAAAACCTTGGCCCGTCCAATTATTTCCTTCATCGTTTCCACCGGCTCCATTGCGAGAGAGCGGGAAAACGGCCAGGACAGAACAATTTTGAATCGTCTTCCGTCCCAAATCGGCAGAGCAACGAGAAGCCAAGAACTGGAGAAGAACAACTGGTTGGATTTCTCCGATCTTCTCTTCACTTTAACACTCCATTTCTCAGGTAAGTTTCATTAGATGTACAGACGAAGTATTCGTCGGACATCCGTCAGTTTTTTTTCGTCAAATTGTTAGCCCTAGGGCTCCATTTGAAGTCAAAGCACCAACGTATCGAAGGCGGATTTCAATTTTTAATTTCAAGATGACTAGTAAAACCGGCGGTACTGGAGAGGCTGCTTTCCACATGCTGCAGCCGGAGCGTGACCTTCGGTTGAATTGGGAAGTCGACCTCGCTGAGAAGCTTGAAAGTTATTTGTTGCAGATTTGCACCGGTGAGTTTCAGTCCGGCGAAGATGAGAATCACAATTCTGTCAATTTTGCTGAAGGTGAGGGTTCTTTTTTTTTTTTCCCCCTATCAATTTTCAATTTCTGGATGTTTTGCGTTGTGGACTACTTTATGTTTCTGACTGCGTTGTGTGCTTGGGATTTTTGAGGGTGTAGCTGCTCTGCTTCTTCAAGGTTCGATTCAGGTGTACAGTCGTAAGGTTGAATACCTCTACTCATTGGTTTTGCGAGCTTTGGAGTTCCTCTCCGAAAAGAGGTTTGATTATTTTATCCAATTTTTTTGTCTTAATAATTAGTTCTGGAAATTGCATGATAACGACTCATTAAAAATCTGGAACCTACATGAATAATTTCTTGATGTCTGAGCAAAAATTAAGATTATTACGTTGCGAGTCTCCCTATCATTCAAGGCTCTTCTAAGGTGGAAATTATTAAATGCCCTGACCCAATTGAATAAAGAACATATATGCAAGAACCATTCTTCAGAGAAAAAAAGGGTCATTTTATGTCAACCATCTTGTTCGGCCTCTGAAACCCAAGCTTGAAAGTTGAATGACTAACATCTCCCATTGCCGAACGTGTGAAACAAAGGGTCATTTTGAATGGACAGCAGAATTAGGGAAATTTTTGAGTTTTGACCTACCATTTTTCATTATCTGCTTGGTTGAAGCCCATTCAACTGAGGCAAATTATTGCTTGGGATCGTGTTATGTTATTTATTATTATTTTTTCCTTTTAATTGTTTTCAAAACATTTTTATTCAAACAGGCAGCAGGATCATTTGGAAGGGACCTCAATCGAGGCTGAACAAGATGGTTCTCATAAAATTGCTGAGGATGAAAACGACCTATTTTGGGTTTCAGAGGAGGTGCCAGGTCGCTTATCAGTTGTATGTCATAGTGCAACTAGTGAAGTACTTTAATATTGTTTCATTTGTGATTCAAATCTACATATTGCAGTTGACACGAAGAATACTTTGGAGAGTACCAAAGAAGATGCTTGGTTAAATCAAACTGTAAAGCCTCCAGCAAATTTAGTCGTTCTTGAAGGTGATTGTTTGGATGCATCTGGTGACAATGGTGAACTAGATTCATACTTGGTAATTGGTGCTATAATTAATTAACGTTTTTACTTTTCATATCATTTGACAATTAATCGTAACTTCTTATAATCATGCAGTTGGCCTCCACTAGTGATATTTTCCAAGACTTCGTTCTCTTAGATTCATGTGATGCTGAGGCAGTTCAAGATTTTTTGAATGGTGGTAATAAGTTTGGCCAAAGCCATAATGGTGGATTCAGAGGCAGCTCAACCCACAGGGGTTTTCAGTCTCCCTCTAGACGTTCTGGTGGAAGTATGCAGAAATCATCAGTAGGAAAGACTCAGGGTGCTAATGTCGCTCGGTCACCGTTTTCCAATCATTGCTTCGTGTCTGATCCTCCATCTTGTGATAATTTTGCCAATGAAAATCATGAATTTGACATGGATGCTGAGAATTCAGAACTAGATGATTCAAATGGTTCTGAAGACGATTATGATCCTTGGAAGCCTTTGAATCCTCATGAACCAGGAAATTTAAAAATAAAATCATTTAGAAAAGGTTGCTGACCTACTTCTACTTACATCATTTCCTATTCATCCTTGCTTAAAAGTTAATGTTTCTTCTCTTTTCTTACCTCTTAGCAGTAAAAGCTTTTAAAAAGAATTATGTCAATTCTGGTAAGCATGAGTCTGTAGCTGCTTTGTTTCCACTAGCTAAATTACAAGGCCCAGTTAGCCCAGAGTTCGCGAAGCTTTGGGAAGAGCAGCACCAAGCCTTTGAAACACATAGCGAGTCCAATTCTGCTTTATTATATGAAAAGGTACAGCTTTGTGGTATGTTGTTATTAGTAAAGCATTTCCTATAGTTTATGACACTAGTTATTGTGACTACAGCTGCGAAATTCACTTATCAATGAAGATAGAAGTTGTGATTCCCCTTATGATGTGGAAGATGACAATATTGATAATGGTTTCGAAGATGTAATGCCTGATATCAATCCGCCAGATATGGATGATCCCTATAATCATTATATGGACGAGTCTTCGTGGTTAGGGAGTGAAAAGGTTGAGTAAACTCTAGTATGTTGTAGAGTACAAGACGTTCTTATTGTACGCTGAATTTCTTTTCTGAATTACTATTGATTGTTAACTTATGGATTTTATGCAGCATGATGCGGCTGCTCATTTTGATAAGGGTGAAACATATGAACCTGAATTTCTCTTTTCGCATTCAAGTCGAGAAGATTTTTGTTGCCCTCATCTTGTAAGTGGTGTCGGTGGATTTGTCCCTGCGCTTTACCTATCAGGCTCTATATTTATGATTTTTTATTTGTATTAGTTTGCCTTCTATTGAGTAAATTCCCCATGTTTCCAAGCTTCGTTTCACTTGCATATACTCATTTACATTTTACTGATCTGGAATATCTTGGTTGGTTATGGAGTGTATGTGGAACACATTCTTGTTTGTTGATCAAAAGCAAAATAACTTGTTCAAGTTCTTAACACTATGCCGTAGTGTTTTTAAATAATGAATGGCACATGGGTAGGTTTTGGTTTGTATTTTTGTCAGTCCTAGAATTTGTTCTAGTAGATTTATAAAGTTGTTAGACAGAATTGTTCACTTAAGTTTCCTTCAAACTTAGTACATTATGCACATTATTTTAGTAGATAGACTTGCAGGAGCATTTGGAATTTATAACAATGAAGGATGGAAAACTTGGAGTACATATCCACATATGAAAATCATGCCTAGATTATTATTATCTTTTATACATGCTTCTGGTATATAGTCGCCTAAAATTTCTCTCTTTTATAGGACACACTCCTTGCAAGCATTGCCGAGACTGAGAATCCTACTGAAATGGCCACTCGAGTCTCTACGTGGAAACAGAATATTGAACACAATTTGGAAGAGCAAGTAATAATATTTAATGTTGGACGTCAGTTCCATGTAGCCGATAGTTATTTCTTCTTAATTGGGGTTTGAGAGAAGTACTTTTTTGTGATAGGACAAACACCTTCCATTTGATATTCATGAATATTGCAAAGCGATTCGTGAAAAATTATCTGGTGAAGCTGACAAAGGCGGTGTAATGTCTTTCTCTGATGTTGTTGAAGGGCAGGAGAAGTACGTTGTATCACGAAGTTTTACTGCTGTTCTTCAATTGGTAATGTACTTAACAAACACTATAGAAGTATCTAGATTGGTGAAAGTTGGAACTTGAAAATTGGAATCGACAAGTCATTTTCAGGTGAACAATGAAGATGTGGAGCTGGAAGAGGACGGGGTTGATGGGGAGTCGATTGTCTATACTTATCTGAACCCGTTCCATGTTCGGCTTATTTGCCAAGACAAACGGGCGGATGAAACTCGGCATCAATTCTCAAGAAAGAGGTCCACATCTCCAGCTACGGTTGAAAATGGTAGGGATGACAATGTTAGGAATATAAACCACAAATCATCACACATCGATAAAACTCTTGAGGAATCTAGGGTGATGAGAGAATTGTCACGACAGAATTGCTAACTTCCTGTGAAACTGGGGAAGGTTGGTGGCATAAAATGCACTCCTGAAGGCAAGAGGCCAGTTGACTGACATTCTACTTGGATGACAATATTTAATGTACAATTAGCTGACTGTTTGTATATTGTATAGCAATTCAACACAGCTTGTTGTAGCATTGTTGAGCACCAACTTTTTTGTTGGGGTAATGAATATGGAAGTGTCAGCTAAGAATTTTCCTTTGTACAACGTTTTGTTTGTTCCCTCTGTTAGGTTTGTTTATTTGATGTAATTATGATCTGGAGGGAGATGTATGTATGAAAGGAAAAGTGTATATTAACCATGTAACCGTTTGATTCTTGCCCTATTTTCAGGTTTCCATCGCTCAAGCTTGAAATCTATTAGATTAACGGCCATATGTAATAGGCCAAAGCGGACAATATCGGTTAACAGTGGGCTTGGGCTGTTACAAATGATGTTAAAGCCAGACACTGGGTGGTGTGCCAATTGTCACGATCATGCTCGTCCAGGGCATGTTGCCCATGGCCGCATACCCATGACAAACCAAACCCTTGTCATGTCTTTTCATTCTAGTGTTTTTACTTTTGTAGTTTTAGGGCGTATGACGCCTCAAAAATATCATGTCTAGGCTTGACAGACATGAAATGTCTCAGAATGTACTATAGGGAGATATGATTACTTGTCAACTTCCCCCTACCCAAGGTTATATATGCTAAGCCGTTGCTATCTCTCTCTTGCTTGCTTATATAATGTCTCTTTCAAAAATCTCTCTTTTTAAAGTCTTTCTACCCTCGTTTTCTAAAACCTTCTTTTAAAATCGAGGCTAGAGGTTCGATCATACGTCACTTGGCCGTAGGCGACGCAAGAACAAATTGACTTAGCTCACTTATCGTTGGAAAGTGAGTGTCGCACAATCGCTAATCCGCTGCCTTCAAAAGTGCGATTGTGTCAAGTGGTATCAAAGCTTTGTTAGCTCTGTGGCACAGTAAAGACTGAAACCATGTTGGCGACAAAGTCGACACCCAAAGCACAAGCCGACTGGCTTACGCTAATAGAGGAGGAAATGTTGTTCCTCAAAGAAGTCTCTGACACCCTCCGCTTCCTCGAAGCACGGGTGATCGAATTGAGTGGGAAAGTCATAGAAATCGACGCAATGGGCAACTGCCAGGATGGGTTGCCAATCGCAAAATTGATGTTTCGAGTGACCTCGCTCGAAGAAAGAGTTGCTCCTACGAGCAGTACAAAACCATCTGGCAGTCCGAATAGCTCTGTCGCGCACAAGGAGGGACGTGGCGAAGAGTTCGACGTGCTACAAAATACAATGATGAGCTTGTTCAATGGATTAGCTGATGAATTCAGAACAACAATCGATGACATCCAAGAAAGGATGGCCTCCATGAGCACTCGAATTGAAGTGACCATGAAAGCTGTGACGAGCCGTGGAGAACGTCACGGCTGGGCAAACTAATGCAGGGTCCAACAAACTAAGATTCCCAGATCCCAGAGCCTTCAAAGGGAATCGGGACACCAAAGAGTTGGAAAACTTCGTTTTTGATGTCGAACAGTACTTCAAAGCCACAACAGCTTGTACCGACGACAAGAAGGTGACCGTAGCCTCGATGTATCTCATAGACGACGTCAAACTGTGGTGACCTACGAAGCTGCAAGACATCGAGGATGGATTGTGCACCATTGACTTGTGGGAGGACCTCAAGAAAGAGTTGAGGGACCAATTCCTCCCCAAAAACGCAGGACATATAACAATGGAGAAACTAGTAGCCCTGAAACATACTGGAGGCATACGGGACTATGTCAGACAGTTCTCAACCCTGATGTTAGATATCAGGGGCACATCAGAGAAGGACAAGGTGTTCTTCTTTATAAATGGGTTACAGTCGTGGGCCAAGACAAAGTTACACGAGAACAAGGTCCAAACTCTAGCTGCCGCAATGGCCAGTGCCGAGAGACTCCTAGACTATGGGAACGAAGCGGGATCCCAAAGAAGAATGACACTAGCCCCAAACACTAAGGGCAAGACATACAAGCCACTAGGTCATCGAAATGGAAGGCCCAACAGACCGAACGGAGGTAACGACAGACCAAGCGGATGGACGGATAGACCTCCTCAGAACAACCAAGCGAGGACATCTTGAGGACCTTACCATCAAAGGAACCACCCGACGACGCCTTTACAATGCATACTGTGTAAATGTCCCCACAAAGTATCTTACTGTTCTCATCGGGCCTCTCCCACTGCGCTCCAAGTGTCCATTCAAGAGAGCAATGACACAAGGGTCGAGACTATGCTAGACAAGAAGGAAGATCAAGACAATCCCCGAATGGGCGCGCTTAAATTCTTGTCAGCCCTCCAACGGAAGGTTGAACCGAAGAAGATAATAGAGAAAGGGCTCATGTTCGTAGATGCGACAATAAATTCTCGACCGAGCAAGAGCACTCTGATAGATTCAGGAGCGACCCACAACTTCATCGCCGATCAAGAAGCCCGAAGATTGGGACTCACCATAGGAAAAGACCCGGGGAAAATGAAAGTTGTCAACTTTGAGGTCTTGCCTATTGTGGGAGTTTCCAAAATAGTCCCCTTCAATATAGGAGATTGGACAGGAGAGCTAGATCTTGTCGTAGGTAGCATGGACGACTTTGACGTGGTACTTGGGATGGAGTTCCTCCTAGAACACAAAGTTATCCCAATGCCACTGGCAAAATGCTTGGTGATCACCGACCGTAACTCCACAGTAATACCTGCAAGCATCAAGCAACCAGATAATCTTCGAATGATCTCGGCCATACAATTGAAAAGGGGACTCGCACAAGAGGAACCCACATTTATGGCCATACCACTGATGGAAGAAGCGACCACCGAAGAAACTGTCCCAAATGAAATCAAGAAGATACTAAACAGCTATGCCGACATAATGCCAGAGAGCTTACCCCAAACATTACCATCTCGTCGAGGCATTGATCACGAAATCGAACTCATCCCCGGGGTTAAACTGCCAGCGAAGAGCGCATACCGGATGGCTCCGCCCGAGCTAGCCGAATTAAGGAAGCAACTGGATGAGTTGCTGAAGGCGAGATTCATTCGCCCGGCAAAGGCACCCTACAGAACCCCCGTACTATTCCAGAAGAAGAAGGATGGGACGTTGCGTCTGTGTATAGACTATAGAGCCTTAAACAAGGTGACGGTACGCAACAAATATCCGCTGCCTATAATATTCGACTTGTTCGACCAACTTCACGGGGCCAAGTACTTCACGAAGTTAGACTTATGATCAGGGTATTACCAAGTACGTATTGCAGAAGGGGATGAGCCTAAGACGACATGTGTAACAAGATATGGGGCCTTCGAATTCCTAGTAATGCCCTTTGGCTTGACAAACACCCCAGCTACTTTCTACATGTTGATGAACCAAGTTTTCTACAAATACTTAGATCAGTTCGTCATAGTATACCTCGACGACATAGTTGTTTACAGCACAACCCTAGAGGAACACAAAGTGCACTTGAAGCTGGTGTTTGACAAGCTGCGGGAGAACCAACTGTATGTTAAGAAAGAGAAATGTGCATTCGCACAAACATGCATCAACTTCCTTGGACATGTCGTCAAATGTGGACAGATTAGTATGGATAGCGATAAGATAAAAGCTATCCAAGAATGGAAAGTTCCTACTTCCGTATCCGATGTGCGGTTCTTCTTAAGATTAGCCAACTACTATAGGCGGTTCGTCGAAGAGCTTTCACGACGAGCCGCCCCATTGACAGAGCTGTTGAAGAAAGACCACCCTTGGTCATGGTCAAATGATTGTCAAATGACCTTTGAAGATCTGAAAACAACCATGACGAGGGGTCCTGTCCTCGAGTTAGTAGATGTTACAAAGCCCTTTGAAATAGAAACAAATGCTTCCGATTTTGCCCTAGGTGGGGTCCTTATTCAGGAAGGTCACCTCGTCGCTTACGAAAGTCGAAAGCTCAACGATGCCGAACAGAGATACACTGTCTCCGAGAAAGAAATACTGGCTGTAGTCCATTGTCTTCGAGTATGGAGACAGTATCTCTTGGGATCACAGTTCGTAGTGAAGACGAATAACAACGCCATTTGTCACTTCTTTGATCAACCATAATTGACGGCAAAACAAGCCCGGTGGCAGGAGTCGTTGGCCGAATTCGACTTCAAGTTTGAACACAAAGCAAGAAAGAGTAATCAAGCAGCCGACACACTGAGTCGAAAGGGCGAACATGCGGCCCTGTGCATTAGCCCATATTCACTCAAGTAAGATCGATGGATTGATGCGCGACATCATCAAGAAACATTTACATAAAGACCCATCGGCCAAAGCCGTCGTCGATCTAGCTAAAGCTGGGAAAACACGACAATTTTTGGTTGAGGGAGACCTTGTGATGACAAAAGGAAACAGATTGTATATCCCAAGAACGGGAGAACTGAGGAAGAAGCTCATTCAGGAATGTCATGATACCTTATGGGCCGGACACCCTAGGTGGCAAAGAACATACGCCCTAATAAAAAAGAGGTATTTCTGGCCAAACATGCGAGACGACATCATGCAATACATCAAGTCGTGCCTCATCTGTCAACAGGACAAAGTCGAGAAAGCCAAAGTCTCAAGACTCTTGGAACCTCTACCTGTGCCAACAAGATCCTGGGAAAGTGTATCTGACTTCATAACACACCTCCCAAAAGTCGGGGAATATGATGCCATCTTGGTTATCGTAGACCGATTCTCAAAATATGCGACGTTCATCCCCACTCCCAAATTATGCTCGGCTGAACTAACAGCTCAACTATTTTTCAAACACGTTGTAAAGTTATGGGGCATTTTGTCGAGCATCATCAGTGATAGGGATGCAGATTCATTGGGACATTTTGGACTGAGTTATTCGTCTTCTTGGGAATAACCTTAAACATCTCCTCGAGTTATCACCCTCAAACCGATGGACTGACAGAACAGTTCAATTGCTTGCTCAAAGAATACTTACGTCACTTCGTCGACGCTCGCCAGAAGAACTGGATACAACTATTATATGTCGCCAAATTTTGCTTCAATTGTCAAACCAGCTCGTCTACGAGAAAGAGTCCCTTCGAAATTGTAAGTGGACGACAACCAGCCTTACCCCATATTATTGATCATCCTTATGCATGGAAAAACCCTCAAGCTCACAACTTCACAAGAGAATGGAAGCAGACAACAGATATAGCCCGGACATATTTAGAGAAGGCTTCCAAGCATATGAAAAAGTGGGCGAACAAGAAGCGTCGCCCCCTTCAATTCCGAGCAGGAGATCAAGTTCTAATCAAGCTGAAACCAGAATAGATCAGATTTCGCAGCCGAAAGGACCAGAGACTAGTTCGAAAATATGAAGGCCCGGTTGAAGTCCTTAAGAAGATCGGGGCTACCTCCTACCGAGTTGCACTACCCGCATGGATGAAAATTCACCCCGTAATTCATGTGAGCAACTTAAAGCCCTACCACCCTGACCCAGACGACGACCAACGAAATGCAATCACGAAACCGAGCATCGATATGAAGCAAAAAGAAACAAAAGAAGTAGAGGAGATCCTCGCCGACAGGGTTAGGAAGATAGGAAGACCTGTACGGATGATTCGTGAATTCCTTGTCAAATGGAAGAATCTCCCTACAGAGGAAACTAGCTGGGAACGCGTCGAAGATCTGAACTCCACTGCCACCCACATCGCAAGGTTTGAAAGTAGTCGGTTGACAGGGACGTCAATCAATTAGGTGGGGGAGGATGTCACGGTCATGTTCGTCCAGGGCGTGTTGCCCATGGCTTGGCCGTATGCGACGCAAGAACAAATTGGCTTAACAGCCAAAAAAGACAATATCTACTAGCGGTAGATTTGAGTTGTAGGATTATTGATAAGATGAGATGGGGACATGATAAAAGCTCTTTTATGGATCCACGAACCAATAGCAATTCCCAAATATTGGCGGCTACTAAAAGTGGCTTTCTGTGGCTTTGGCGGCAGCTGGTTAAGCAACCCAACCCAACTTTTCAAAAAACCTCTAAATTTTCATTATTTAATTACGGAATTTTCAAAATTATTTTAAAGTAATTTATGAACCCTTTTAGACTAAATTCTTCTAATATATATTTACTTAAATAATAATAATAAATAGATATTTAAGTAATATTGCGAAACCCTTTTATAATGGAGTCAAAATATGTATTTATTTTACATGTTGAATTAAAAAAATGCACAATAATATTAATGATTAGTAGAACTCGACGTTTACGTTAATAATAAATAAAATTTTATTTCTCGACTAATTTAGTTATATCGACAAAATGAGCTTAGCTGAACGGTAATTCGAGACTTAAACCCTCATATTACACATTGTTTATACTTTTTGTATAAAGAAAAGTATATAATTGAGGGGAATATCTACCGTCAAATACTTTGTTCTATAAAGAATATAAACTAAAAAAACAACTGCCACGTGTGCGTTAGTTTGACAAATCATCTTCAAATGCATTAGTCTGACCCTCCACTGAGAGCCGCCTTGCCCTCTTCGCGTCAATTCCCGTGTTGGACTAAGAAATCACACGGCGTTTTCCTTTCCTTTTTCGATATCCAACTCGCCGCCGGCGCCGGAGCTACACTCGACACTAGTTCCGGATGGCGATACGCCGCCTCTTCTCTCCCGGCCGATAATCATCTTGAACGACAACGACATAACCCGACTTATCGGCGACTTGAACGACGGCGTCGTCGGTGACAACGAAGCAGCGAACTCACCGTCTCTTCGCGTCGGAATCTCAATCGAAACACCGGCTAGTTCTCCCGGCTTTCGCCGTGCCCTAAATGACCGTGAACCGGTCGAAGAAGAAGCCATCCGGTCGGAACGATCACATTCAACGCAGAGATCGGAAGAACTCGGACCCGGTTCGGTAATAGCGGGTTCTCCAATGGAAACCGCTACCTCCACCGGTGTCTCCGGAGGCCGCTCAACCGGCGTGCGACAGAGCGGGCATGTGGTGTGAGAGTGAAACCACATGTCGATGCAATCGGTATGAAAGCTGTGACGACATTTCGGAAGTGTACGGCCCTTTTCATTTTCCTCAAATTCGGACAAACAGACGGCGCAATCGATCGGATCGGAGAAGGATTTGGAGGAGAAAATGAAAACAGGGAGAGAGTTAAGAACAGAGGGATCGAGGCCGCGGAGGTGGGAGGCGGCGGCGCGAGCAGCAGAGGGATTTTCGGGTTCGAAATAGAAGACTAGACGGTTGCGGCGGCGGAGAGTACCACGGCGGCGAGCACGGAGAACATACCAGCGAGCGTAGAGGTGAAGGCAAATGATGAGAACGACAACGAAGAGAAGGATGATGATGGCGCTGAGCATAATCTTGCCGCTTAGGGCAAAATCGTTGAATCCCGGAGGAGAGGTGGAAGAAGGATCATCCATGGCGGCTTCCATTAATTGCAGTGAAGAAATTTTGGGGGAGAAGAAGGGTTTTTAGTGAGGAACAAACGAAATTTCTTCGGGGTTTCAAATGAATGCTCTAATTTTTTTTCCCGTTTTCAGTGGGACAGAGAAGACGCCATTGTTGACTGAGAACTCAACCCTATTTGGTTAAGGAACTTTCAGGCTTTTCTTATATTTATACGCTTATTTTACTCTCTCTCTCTCTTTATTTTTTCTAAAAAAATTAAATTAAATTAATAAAAATATCCTTAAATTTTTTTAATAGTATAATATTATCCACTAAATAGTGTCGTGTGATTATAAACTCATGATCATTTCCTAAAATAGCCGATGTGGGACTTTCAGATTTGAAAATGAGTAATTTTTTTCCTATAAAAGAAGATCTATATATCTTCATGATTTCTCTTCCGTTGTAAAGTACGTAATCTTTTCGTATTAAACTAAATCTATTTCATTAGAATAAGGTTTATTCACTCATTAAAGTAGGTTAAAAAACAAGTAATTTTCATTTAAAAGAAGACCTATCTTACGAGGAATAAGGTTTACTCGGTGGTCAATTAGTTACTTTCTGGGGGTCGGTTAGAAAGTAAGTAACCGAGTCTCACTTTGATGAAGAATAAGGTTTACTTGCGAGTCAACTGGATACTCTTTTATTGGTCGGTTAGAAAGTAAGTAATCTTCGAGATTTACCCACGAGTCAACTGGTTACTTTTTATTGGTCGGTTAGAAAGTAAGCAAGGTTCAAATCTATTTTATTTAAGAATAAGTTTTGCCCACTCCTAAACTCGTTACATAGAAATAAATTAAGTTGAATATTATATTTTATTTTTCTTATACCGTTTCTATTTAATTATTAATTATTTTAATAACTAAATCATTTGTATTAGATAACATATACCAATCTTATTATTTTAACCAAGATTATTTTAAATTGTTTAGTTGATGAAATTTGAATTTAATTAATTAGTATTTTAAATATTAAATATATTGTTAAAATAAAATAAATTTAAATTTATTATTATTATTATTAATTCTTATTGTTTTAGTTAAAAGTTACATTAAAAATTTATTTAGATTAATTCATCTTAATTAATTAAAACTATGAAAACAATATCTTAATAATTATAATATATAAAAAAAAACATTCTATTTCAATTTCCGACCAATTCCAAGTAAACATCAATTAGAAAAAAAAACATTCTTATTGCAATTAATTATTATTATGATTTAATAATAATAATAAAAAGGTATTTAAATTCATTTTAAAAGAAAAAATTAGATGTCATGTTTTCAATAATTGTCGAGGGAGGAAGGTTCCCGGTAGCCGGTAAGATGGGAAGTACTTTCTTTTCATTAATTTAAGCCTTCATTTTATTTTTTTAATATATTTTAATAAAAACAAATAGCGCAACAATCGTCGTGCAATCAACAATTATACGAGATTATCTACTTTTATATATATATATATAGTTTTATTATTTACTTCATACTAATATTTTTTTTATTTATATATATAATTTTATCCTTTTTGTGCGATCAACTAATTAAATTCAGATGTCCAAATAAATAAATAAATAAATATATATATATATAATTTTATCCTTTTTGTTATAAGAAAAGCATGTGCGGACACGATTTTAATACAAATAATTTCATCATATAATATTAATTCAAATTTTGTATCATATTTTGCTTTGGAGACTAACTACTACTTGCATTTTCAAATCTAAAATTAAACAAAATATTTGTTCAAAAAGTATAATTTATGTTTATTTAAAGAGAGAATATGCCCATATGCTTTCAATTTTAATGAATCTTGTAGTTAATTGTAGATAAAAAAAATTAATACCATTTAAACCAAATATTCTTTTTCACCAAAAACTTTTAATAAAATGAGATAAACGTGCTAACAAAAACTTTTTGGTAGATTTATAAAATATTCACCAAAAATATCCTTTTTAGAATTAAAATATATTTTTAACAATTATTAAACTATACTTCAATATTAAATAAAAATTAATGGTTAAATATATTTTTTAAACTAGAAATTATGAAAATAAAATACGTTCGAGTTTTTCAAAAGTTTCATTAATACCCTTATTTTTTTTATTTTTCATTTTTTTTAACTTCAAAAACACGCTTGAACTTTTTTTAAAAAATTCAAAAATATCATTATCGTATCACATTTAAAAAAAATCGACTTTCAAAAGCAACAATAAAAATTATGAAAATAATTTATGAGATTTTGTCTAGTAAAAACTTTTAATTTTTTTGTTTTTTTTTTGTAAAAATAAAATGTGAATGAAATTTAATTGAAGTGACAATGACCTAATCAAAGCTTATAATTATACTTAATATTTTTTAATTACCTAAAGTTGGGATTTTCTCATTAAAAACTTCTGGTATTCTCAGAATCACTCTGATTTTCCCTTTGTATTAGCATAATTGGGATTACCTGAACCCAGAAACTCCCTGCACTGTCCTACTTCTCAGTTCAATCCCCCTATGGTTCCTTCATGAATATCAAATCGAGTACACTTCACATTAATGGTGTAAAAGATAACAGCAATGGCTCAGACCCATAATCTTCTCAAATGTTTCTGGAGTCTGGATTTTATTTGAACCGACGATAAGAGTCGTAGAAAATTTGAAACTCATGATGTTTATGGTTTCCTCCGATTTTCGACGTTGAAGTGAACGTCTATGATATTCGTTATCCCTGCTGTTACCTTCTGGCCTGCCTTCACTGGGCCAACGCCTGAGGGAGTTCCTGCATGGTGAAGAAGAACATAACTTACTTGGTTTCTATGCTCAACAAGCTTCCATTCTCAAGTTCTTTAACAATGGATTCATCAAGTCAATGGCAGAAAAGAAAAAAGCAATGAGAGAATAGTGATGGTTTAATGATGGATTCATCAAATAAATGGCATGTTCCAGCTTCCATTGAACAATACTACTTTCAACATGAACATCAAGTATGAGAATTTGTGAGATTCTAGATTGATTGGAGAGAGGAACGGGTGCAAGCGAGAACGCTGGGCCTCGAAGGGAGTGGATTGTGAGATCCCACATCGATCGGAGAGGGGAACAAAACATTCTTTATAAGAGTGCGGAAACCTCTCCCGAATAGACACGTTTTAAAAACCTTGAGAGGAAGCCCGAAAGGGAAGCCCAAAAAGGACAATATCTGCTAGCAGTGGGCTTGGTTTGTTACAAATGGTATCAGAGCCAGACACCGGGTGGTATGCTAGCGAGGACATTGAGCCCCGAAGGGAGGGTGAATCATGAGATCTTGCCTTGGTTGGAGAAGGGAACGAAGCATTCTTTATAAGGGTGTGGAAACACTCCCTAGCAGAAGAGGACAATATTTGTTAGTGGTGGGATTGGGTTGTTACAGAATCTTTCTAAACTAAACTATCTGAAAAAGTAACGCAATGATTACTCCCAAGAATAGACACAACAAACAGTCTATAAATGTGAAACATGGAAAACCAATCAATATCCACAATGTAAGGAACAGAAATTTAAGCCAGTGGAACAAGTCTGACAACCAAGCAATGGTCACGGAAAATGACATTATCACAAATTATCTATAAACGTTGAAATCATTGTAAAGACCAGACTTTCAATTTCGAGCACAGTGACAAAACAATCTGATAGATTAAAATAAACTATGGCTGTGGATACCTGTTAGTATGACATCTCCTTCAAGAAGGGTCATGAAGGAACTTATATGGCTAATGAGGTATGGGATTTTGAAGATCATATCCTTGGTTGAGCCTTTCTGTCGAAATTCATTGTCTACCTGAGTCGAGTTAGTAAAAAGCAATTGATCATAAAATGAGACAATGACCCTAATGGAGGAAAGAAACTCATTATCGTAAATATCAGAACCTTTAACCATAATTCTATATCATCGGGATCGGGAATTGACGCCTTGGAGAGCTGCATCATTTACAGAGTAAAAAAAAGAAACATAAGTTTGAAGGTACAAGTTACTACTCTATGAGATTTATTTCATTTGATGATATGGTTCTTTCGATTGTATAACACAACTGAAGGAAAACAGGGCATGTGATTATTCTTACAACCGAACTGATGGGTGTAAAGGTGTCCTGCCCTTTAGCTATAGTCCATGGAAGGCCTGCAGACTGGTAACGAAAACAGGATTATTTAAGGTAGAAAAACTAGAATATATCTGTTCTTCTTGGAAGATAGAAAGCTGAAAAAATAAGATGAAACTAAAACATTATTCAAAAGTCCTGCAATGTAGAACTTCCGGAGATTGGAGTGAAACCTAAAGGCCACTCGATATAGAATTGTTACAAGTAAAACATGCTTAACCATGAAGTCTATGACTGAGCCACTGAAAAGGAAGATGCACCTTGTTTGTATAGGTAGTGACTTTCAATTCTTTTAAGTATTTTTTAATCATCCTATCTTTAAGATCACTCTCATTCAAATATGATCTCGGTTCATTCATGTACCTTTCCTTTACTCCGGTGTGAGTTCTATTTGATAATTTATTCAACAAGGATATCCTACTTATACCATATTGAAGTGAACAATAGGAACAGAATTCTTGTCAATTATTGGAAGTGCGACTTCTTTATAATGGATTTCCTATAAGAGGTAGAGATTGATCCAACCAGGATATGAAGAGATCTTATGTTTATTTTAGGACATTCTCAAACATATTGAAAGTAAGACCATGCCCCCATGCTCGTTCAATGACGTCAATAGTAGCTAGTTTGTGTTCGTTGGGTTCGCTTTATGTTTAGATTAACACAGCAATATATTCACTCAGCAGAATTACTTAATGTTTCTACCTGACTTGTTAACTAACATCCATCAAGAAAGGGAAAAGAAACCCCATCACCTTGGCAGAAGCTTGGATTTCTCGGGCAGTCATGTCCAGTGCAAGAGCATAACCTGACATGTCAAAACAAAAATTTGTAATGCATTGCTCAAGATTATGAAATATAAACGGTGCATGACTTGGGAATTAAACAATTTCTCCGGAATGCTATTCCTCAGAGTTCAGAGGGGAAATTCCCAAAGGGTCAATCAAAAGGGTTAACACGATTAAAGAATCAACGAATCGACTCAACAAATTCACTTAAGATTTCAGAAACATAGTAGCCCTACCCCCAACATAATCCATGGCGGAGGCTTCAGGAACGTCACGAGCTTTCTGCGAGATGACAACAGCGAGCTCAACCTCGTGATCCAAAGACTTCAGAGCGTGAGGGATCTCGATCGTCCCTCCATTTTGCAAGTAAGACGACGTGGGTTTCATAAATAAAACCGGCTCCTAAAACAGATTCAAGGAAAAATTGCAATCATAAACAACATAGAATCAATTAATAATTAACTCCCCGTGAAAAACATCAACAATCATAGTCCAGAATAAAAAGGAAATTTGTTAAAAACCTTGGGGATGGCGTTGCCAAGTTCTTTGGCATGGGCGGCGTAGTTCCGGCCAACACCAATAATCTTGGTTCCTACATTCAAAAGATTTGCGTACGCCGTTGCCATTTTCCGATGTCGAACTCCAACAAATTCAGCGATCTCACAAAGCAGCAAGGGATCAAAAAAATGGAGGCAAAAGAAGACAGCGAATGAGATGAGATATTTTTAGTTTTAGCTCGAAACTCAATTCAATTCTGACTTCGATTTATTTATTTATTATTATTTTATTTTTTTTAGTTTCTTTTTTTGTATTTCCGAAAAAAAGTGTTGAGAGTGGGCAATTTCTCCCATGGAATTTACTATTTGGTTATTAAAAAAATTTAAAAAGTAAAAAATTAATTTATAGACCAAACTAATAATTGTATTATATTATTTAGTCATCAAAAATCTCACATATATATATATATATATCAACGACCCAACAACTCACTCCGGGCCCGGGCCCACAGGCCCAGGCCCATCCATTGCTTGACAAAGAAAGGTTCAAAAAACGATGTCCCACATCGATAAAACGTGAGAATAGACCTCCAGTGATCGCATATAAAAGGTTGGAGGAGGGAATAAGAAAAGTATCTTTGCGCTTGGGGCAATGACGCAGCTAGTGAGGTTCTAACCGAGGCGCGTCAATTGCTGGTTGAAAACTATTTCCAAACCCCCTCGTAGGCCTGGGCTCGCCCCTGGCCTTCGAGAATTTCTGGAAGGGCTCCCTTTGGGGTAAAGCCCTACAAACTCTACTCTTAAATTTTCTATTTTCTATTTTCCATTTTCATTCGTAATCATCGTTTCAAATTATATTCATTTTTTGTAACATCGACACAGTATTTCATCTCATATGTAAGCTCAGAAGCTCTGTATTTTCAATGAATCGCTTCCACTCGTTACAGAATTTAGCCACTGTTTCTCCATCCAAAACTCTGGTCTGCTCCAATGTTGACCTGAGGAATCTAAAAAAACGGTGTGGTTTAAGGGGTTTGTTTTGGATTGTTTGGAGAAATTCTTGATTGATCGATTGGTTTGTGATGCTCACCGTCATGATCAATGTGGGGTACACGCCCCCATCGTCGGCGATCTGTGGAACCTTTTTGATTCGGCCGACTGCAATGACTGATACTTCAGGCAAGTTGAGCGAAGGAGAACCGTATCTTCCACCTATGGCTCCAATATTGCTTAAGGTTATTGTGCCGTCGGATATATGTTCAGGGCTAAGCTTGTTATCCATTGCAAGTTGTTGTAAGCGTGTGTTGGATGATGAAAGTCCCACATCCCCTAATTTAAAGAATGATCATGAGTTTATAAACAAAGAATACTACTCTCTCCCCCAAAGCAAAGTCATGAGAACAAAGAATACTACTCTCTCCCCCAAAGCAAAGTCATGAGAGCTTATACTCAAAGTGGACAATATCATACTATTGTGAAAAGTCGTGAGAGTCGTGTTCGTCTAACAGCGTGAAAGCACACTTTGTGATCTAATCAAATGCATTTGAAAGACAAGTTTTCAGTGAAAGGGCAGCCGACATGCCAGCAACATTGGCTAAGGATGACAATTGTTTTCAAAAGCTATCTGCTTCAATACTATAGATTTTAATAGATCATCAGAAAATGACCCACCGTTACGTTCCGTTAAGCTGTAATTACTTAACCACACCACTACCAGATATTGTCCTTTTGGGAATTTCCTTTCGACCTTCCCTTCAAAGTTTTTAAAATTCATATGCTAGTAAGAGATTTTCACGCCCGAGATCTCAAAAAACAGAAAGAGACCGGACATTCTATACATTTTGCACAACCAAACCAAGTGGAGTAGCCATGGAAATTCCAATATTATGGGAGCCTACAACAAGCAAAAATAAATACAGTTCTGAATCAAATAAGAACAAGGAAGAACAAGGATGGGATTCAAATTGAATGTGGGGATCATATTCTTTGACATATTATGTTCAAACATCTCCCCTTGTTGGATGAAAGTCCCAGGGAATGATTATGTGTTTATAATCAACCAATACTATTTCTATGGGTATGAGGCCTCTTCGAAAAGTCTAAAGCAAAGCCTCATGCTCAAAGTAGACAATATCATACCATTGTGGAGAGTCATGTTCGTCTAATATGGTGCCTTAAACTTAGTCATGCCAATAGATTGATAAATCCTCAAATGTCGAACTCAAAGTGGACAATATCATACCATTGTGGAGAGTCGGGTTCTTCTAACACCCCTCCCGGCATACCTTTGAGAGTTACCTCAAATGGCTCTTCATTGAAGCAACTATTCAGGATCGGATATTTGTTCATTGCCATTGAAAGCGACTTAATCAATCATGGAAGAAACGTATGCTTGCCATCTGGTTCCGTAGTATTTCCTTGGAAAGATGCTTTAAGTTCCACAAGTGCATCACAATTGATCTCCTCTACATAGTGATAATGGGGAACCTTTGCAGAAATGGTCATAGATTTAGAAGAAATCGTCCAATCATCCAAGCTCTCGCATGACGGCAACATTGCAGCAGTTTGAGCTGAAGTGTTAGAAGAAATCAAAACCCTAGAAAGAAAGGACCGTAATGAAAGAAGGGAAAAGGAATTATTGGCTTCACCTCTTGCACAAACCATTTAAGAAGCTCACATTCAGCAATCCCTCCACCAGTTTGAGCCAAAGGTACGTCCATTAACCTAAAAACTGGAAGGTCGTCCAAAGCCTGAGTAGAAACGCGACATATCTTCGAAACGCCTTTTTATACTCGCCTACAAACAGAACCAATTCCGTAATTACATTCACAAATCATCTCAGACCTAAATTTCACCCAATAATTTCAAGGAGAACGGCTTCACAATGATGAACAAAATATTAGATCAACAAAAAAACGTAGAATCAACAACAAGGTTGCTATCTCAGAATCCAAAAACATGAAATAGCGCTTGTGTCTTAAAATCAAAAGAACCAACGCTAACTACAGAAGGAAAACGACCGTCGAACTCACGTCGAGACGATTAGTATATGAATGAAGCCATCCTCGACCGGAACTAAGAAACGCAAGTGGAGGAGATGGCGGTAGCAGTGATTTGGGCGTCTTCTCCAACGGCAACTGAGAGATTGAATCAGAGGAGTCTCAAGAGGTGAACGGAGAGAGTAACCGGCGACCAGTGGCCCAAGCGCTCTTCGGCGAAATTTTCCTCCTGCAAATCGTAACAATCGACATCTCTGGGAATAAATGTTTGACCTATTTTTTCATGAATTTTTTTTTTAATAACGAATAAATGTTTGAAATTTGAAATAAAATAGAATAAAAAAAGACATTTACATGTATTACTTTTTAATAAATATCCTTAAAAAAAACTTATTTATTATTATTATATAGAGGAGACAAGGGCTTCTGCAGCGAGGAATGTAGATGCCGCCAGATTTTCATGGACGAAGAACAAGCCATGCTCGACGCCGGAAACTGCTCCTTCGCTGCCGCCATTAATCCACAAACCACCGCTTCCCCGCCACCTCCTCCGCCTTCTCGCCTCCCAAAACCCACCAAAAACCACCCCCAAGGTTTCTCTGTTTTTTTCTTTTATTTTCTGTGGGTGGGTTTTGATTTCTGAATATGAAATTGGGAAAAAAAAAAGGTGTCTTTTTTTTTTTTTTTTTTGTTATTATTAGAAAGATTTAATTTTTATGCTAATTTAGTTAATTTAAACAGTAATATGATATTAAATAGTAACAATAATTTATATTTTATTAGTATAAAGTTTGAATATTCAGTATATTTATTTTATTATTATTTCTCTTTTTATTTTTTCTTATAAATTATTTATTTTAAAATAGTTATTAATATTGACTGCTAAATAAATTCAAAAATTTTAATTCTTAAAAGTAATTGAATTTGATACATGTTCGCATAAGACTATAGCAAACGTTGAATAATTTATTTAGTTCGCAACCAACACATTTGTATAAGATCTCACAATCCACCCCTTTGACGTTCAACATCCTTGCTAGTACACTGCATACACTGCACAGTGTCTAGCTCTGACACCATTTGTAACAACCTAAGTTCATCGTTAACATATATTGTCTACTTTGGCTCGTTACGTACTGCTGTCAGCCTCACAGTTTTAAAACGCCTGCTAGGGAGGGGTTTTCAAACACTTATAAGGAATGTTTTATTTCCCTCTACAATCGATGCAGGATCTCACAATGGTATGGTACTTATTATTCTTTTCCCTTTTAAGCCTCGGATTCTGAACTGCCTTATGTTTTAATGGCATCGCCAAAGAGACCCCCTTTGAGACATCATGTAAATATGGCACATTGAATTTGTTTCACCATTTAATTTACTCCCCAGTGATATATGAGTCATAATATAAAAAATGCTACAGCAAGTGATTTATATGCTGGCAGAATAGATTATACATACAGGAAATAATTGCACCACCATCATCGCAGGCTCGCCAAACTACTCGGTGGCATCGTTGTCAAGGGGAGATCAACCATCAACCAGATTTGAAAAGTAAAACTGCTTTCTGGTCCAGGTAGAAGTAAACAAAATGGTTCGACTCGTGTGTCACATAAGAACCTGAAACACAAACCAGAGAATAGAATCATCCCTGATATTAATTAAATTCAGGATGAACTAACACAAATATGGCACTGAATAAAGCTCCATAATCAAGAACAAGACAATGCACTACAACATTCAAGGAGATAAAGGGAGCATATTTTTATAGAATTTTTCAAAATCATCAATCTCCCGATTCATGGATCTCTTGGTTCGAGAAATCAAAATAAGAGGATCGAACCATTTCTTCCGACCCTTTTTCAAATTTGATAAATGTTGGTTGATCGTATATTTCATTATAGTTCTATGATTCAGAGTATTATTTCCTATTTGATCCCTATGAATTCCATATTCGAAGTTGCGATCGGATCTATTCATTAAAAAGAATCTATTCAATACATTTCTTATGTACCATAAGGTGTTATATTGGATTTGAATCAGACTTGTGAAGCCAAGCAACTAAAACTGTAATAAGTTCTTTGCATCTGCTAACATAATAACTACAAGAGCCTGCAATTTTTACGGCTAGGAATGTATTGTTAGCAATTAAGTTCTCTCAGCCAAAATGAAAAACCAAATGGTTCACTAATACCACCCTGTTCTTTCAAAGGCTTGTGATGAATGGATTGGCCATGTAAAGGAAATTTTTGGGCT